GCGCGCGAGCGCGCAAGGCTGAAGAATGGTACAGGTGCAAGTCACCTAGGAGAAGCGGCGGTTTTTCTGCTATTCGTGGCATGATCGAAGGGAGGATGCTCCTTTGGAATTTAAATTGGCTCGATCCGAGTAATTATTTCAGCCTAATTTGGATCAATTAACGAATGATAAAGTTCGATGAGCAGGGAAAGAAGTTGATTTCTCTGTTGGTCGATATGGATCCCGGGGAGCTTCGGATTCCATGGTGTTGTTGTTCTTGGTGTATTTTTGAAATAAGAAGAAGAAAGGGAATAAATGATTTAAGATGAATTCAATGGTTAAATAATTTTTCGGAGATTTTACTCCTTTTTACTCAATCTCTGTTTAATTACAGAATTTTCCCATATTTATTTTCAATAAATTTCAATAGAATTTCTAAATAAATTTAAGCAAATTTGTGTTATAAAATATATTTTTTAGAAGACGATATTTTATTAAAATCAATTTACTTTCGTCTATTCAAAATTTTCACATTGGATACATAATGATTACTCAACTATTATATAATTTCTTGCTCAATTTTTAAATAATTAATTCATAACAATAGGTTCCATCAATTTAATTTACAATTATTTATTAATATGGTGAAATATAATATAGTGAAATTATATTAATAATATATATATCAAGTATTGGGTAATTTTTTTCAATAATAATTAGTTAATCTGCTACAAATTTTGTTGCAATTGTTTAGAAATTTCTCAGCGAGGAATATGAATGGAATTGCGCAATGGAGGAATTTCTTCTGGGAAATTTTGGAAATGCATTGTTAGCGTTCGTCACACTGCAATATATCACGAGTACCATACATCATTCTTGGGAAAAATGTGACGCAGGCAATTTGAAAGACGTTGTCTTCGGATCGCTCGTTGTCGATCCTCGGCCAGATTAAAAACGCATCTTTCCGCGAGTCGCGCTCGTGTCAAGTCGACTGTAAAATATTGCGCGACGAGCATCAAATAACAAGTAACAAGAAACTCAGGGGTTGATTTATAACAGTATGATTTAAACTGACACGGCGAATTATCGAGTCGTCGAACACAAAAATCCAATTTGTCATGTGCGAGTGCTAACTAGGCAGTGCAATTTGTACGTTTCTTTCACCGCCAAAGAAATCGCAATTGTCGTCAGGTTTTTGTTAACCTAACTTTGTAATTACGCCGGCTGCCGTCGCGAGCGCTGCTGTCGCCGGAATGGCGGCGAAATGAAGTATTCAATACGCGGTATCTGTATTTGACCCATTGTGATACTAAAAAAATTGTCTACTAATAGAATTTCTTTGAGTCATAGATTCCTGTGCATTTGTCAACTGTATTCCTCAAATTTATTCTTCTCGAATCATTTCGAGTTTAATTAATAAAGCTAAATAAGTCTTCCAATTTGAAAAGACCATTTTAATTACCTAATAACTCATCTAATAATTCTATATGATAATTAATATCTGCAAATACTTCATGATTAACAAATCTGTGAAGCCAAACGATTACAAAATTTTCTGAAATTCCAGAGTCACAATCAAAATTTAAATTTCCAGAATTAATTAATTAAGAATCCCAAAATGATTAAGAAAATTGCAGAAAGTGGTATCGAATTTTAAGATTCACGAATGAAACGAGGTAAAAGGACAAAATTACTCTCTAATAAGGGAACATAATATTCGACTTATTATGTCTTTTTCCATAATTTCCACCCTTTGAAACATTGGCTTTTCAATATGGCGAAATAATGGGACAAAACAATAATCATAGTAATAATTTGAAACGTATTATCACCGCAATATCACAGACTGCTTACACGTAAGTAGTATAAGATAAAAACGGTGTTACAGTTCGAGTGGCCACTGAAAGCGTCGTTTCATCCCGTGTTGGGTAATTCGATCATCCCGAGCTGCAAAGTTCGCGTAATCAATCATCCAGTGTGCGATGAAAGTGGTCGTCGTTATTTCGATATTATTCCGGTTCCACAAACGCGTCGATGTACCATATGGAGCAAGAAATCAGCGACAGCGATTCGAACTCGCATTCAAAATGGCGCGCCGCTAATCATCGCCGGCGATTCGAGTTGTAAATTTAACGTGGTCACATATGTTCAATGGTAATTCGCTCGGAAGAAAGTGGTCGTTATTAACGTGTTCCCGATCCAATTTTGCAGCCAGATTATCGAACCTTCGATTAGATCAGGCTTGGACTTTCTAGAGTGCCATCAGTCATCTCAGCTTGCGCGAATGGAGACGCAGGAAATCGAAATTCTTAATATAGAAGAGGTATATTTGAGAAGGTATATACTTACACAGTCCAGGTGTACATAGTCTTTTAAGACTAAAAAATTACAAAGGAAAAAGATTTCAAATTAGCAGGCTTAGTAAATGTTTATAATAAATCATTTTCTAAATGTCTTTTTTTAAATTATAGGTTAGGGTACTGTAGTAAGATACTGTGATCAGTGTAATGCTAGCTATTTCAGGATGACATGTTTATCCTAGAAGTCTCAGGAGACTGCAAGAGATTTATAATTTAAAACAAATTTTATCATAAGGAATAATTTGTAATTGATAATATGCAATTATACAAATATTCGCTTTCTTTTTCACGAGTGAAGGCTAAAGAAATTTCAGTGGTTTTTACTGTCATAACAATTTTTTTCGTCATACTACTTTAACACATTTAGGTATACGTTATAATTTAAGTACCAAAGGAAATCACTGTCAGTCTTCCTGTGATAATTAGATCAACTCGCACACCTAAGTATAGTATACATAGACAATATTAATTCCAACTTTATGATGAATTTATACAGGCTGTCCCATTTGACGTTCCTAAACTATTCAATTATTTCCTAAACTATAGTTCGTTCCAAAAAATTTTTCAAATATAACATACAATGGTTTTAAATCTTTGCTAGGTGTGTGCTTCGAGGTTCCAAAGTGATCTTGATCCTTTTTAACGAAACTCTATATCTTTTTATGTCATCTAAAGGATAGAGTGAACGATGATTTTTCTAATAACGTGTATCTATATCTACAAAAATCAAAAATGAAAAATCAGTCATCGTGACTAGTTTGACAGTTCTAGACTGTCATAATACCTCTATCTCACCAATCTAAGCTTCGTTCCACCATCAAATGGGGTATTACTCCGCTAACACAGAATGCGATGAAAGAGGTACCCCTAGAAGCATAGTTCTTGACCTATTCCCAGGATATCGGGTTCCAACGACCCAGCTGTGCTCTCAAAAGTCTCACGATCAATCCAGCCCCGTCCCAATCAATTAGGGCTAATTTGTCAGCGTTGTTCGTCGCGTGTCAACGCCAGTCGCAAGAACAATCCTTAACCGACCGCGAACCAGACTCATTCCATCATTCCCTGGCCGTTTTTTCACGCCGCTGTCTCCTCGTCTGAAAGACAAACACCGGTGGCGACACAGCGGTACGCCACCAGAGATAATCATCGTCATAAATTCATCATCATCACCATCATCGTCAAGCCGGCCCGGGGAGCATAATCACTCGTTAGCCGAGGCACACTTCGCCTCCGGCGAATCACTGTCAAGGCTGCCACGCTTCGCGGAATAACGAATTCCTTCTGGAGAACGAACTCTTCCATGCTTTTTCCCCTCTGCCTTTATATTCCGTGGATCACAGCATCTGCTGCCTCTTTCTTGCGCGTGGAAAAACCCGCGTCTCACCTTTCAGCTGCCTGACAATGGCAACCTCGATATGCATATGTTTGCATCTGTGTGATGAATCAATTATATGTTTGATGACTTCGGCCATGATGTTATGTGGCTTTGAGGAAAGAAGAAATACGTGAAACTTGGTTGGACGATATTTTTGTAGAACGTGTTGATAAGGATGCTATATTCGAAAGTGTGCCTTAGTGGAATCACGTGTGCTGTCATAGCGATAGGTACAAGTGTGTGTGTGTGTACTAAACGGATATGGCCTAACTGTGTTCGTCTGCTTCGATTCTGAGACTGGACTGACCGATCCTTGGAAGGTCCTATAAGACCAACGATTTTAATCCAAGGAAAAACCCACGTGACAGCTTCTAGGTATCCAGAACAGAGGCTCGTAGGGTCCAAGCTTGTATCGCATCGTTGATTCGAAAAATTAAAATTTCCGATGCACTTGTGGTTGTTTGTCTATACCTAGATGATACGAAGTTATATACATACACTTTCTTAATGATCTGCAGACATTTTAACACGCGTTGGCAACCCCAGTCGATATCTTAACGGAGTTTATGGCATGACAGGATCCAGGCACATTAATTCGCCCGAGGTATAGGATAAAATAAAAAGTCACTGTAATCTGGAAGATCAAAAATATAGAGCATGTTTACATGTACTCTAGTGATTACTCTATTTGATGAGTTATCTCATCGTTACGGATGATTATGACACGTGCAGTACGAGTTATGTTCATTAATATGCGCTTCATATACAGTTACCGTATGGTAATTAGATCTCCAGCGAGGATATTCCTATTGCCTTTTGAGACTCGTGTATCTGTCTATGATCAAAATTAAATCACGACTGTAATCCTACTGACAATTATAATAAATATTCTCGAAACGATATTATTCGTCCAAAATAATAATTGAATAGGGAAATAATTTATCTTCGTAATTATTAAATTGAAAAGATGAATATAATTTTATTAACAAATATTGTCAAAACAGTATTATTCGTCTGGAATAATGATTTAAATAATTGCAAAATAATTTAAAGTATTAAATTACAATTCTTTTAGACATCTTTTACCCTGTCAATATGTGACACCATAATTAATAACATCCTTTGTTCCCATCAAACGAGCCTATTTTAAATAAAATAAGGACGTAAGGAAATCCATAAAATCGTGTTTGAGAACCATAATAATTTTTGAGAATATAAATTTAATGAAATTATCTCAGGAAAAAAGGACAAAGAACGCTAACAGTTTGCTTTCTTTCTCTTTGCAGGACGAACACGTTGGTGAAACTGCCGATCCCTCGCGATTCCTAATTACCTGCCGCGAGTCTTAGTGTCTATGAAATCGTGAAAACCCGGCCGTGTGTGACGATGTCGTCGAGTGGTGAATTTTCGACCCTGTCCAGTGGCGAGGCTACTGGAACTGGCGACGACTCGTTGCCCAGCTCGCGAGAGGCCACCGCTGAGGCCGCGAGTTCCGGTGCTGGGTTCATGCCTCTGCGCGAGTTTCTGGACAGATTCTCGTTGCCAAGAGTGGTGAGGGTGGAGGGTGCAGGTGGAAGGCCGATACTGTTGTACAAACAACAGCAACGATCGCTGAGAGTCACGGCTACCCTGCTGATGCATCGTTACCGCCATGACGTGAAGGTTGGGCCTGAGATCGTGATTCCAGAGGGATATCCCGGTGAGCGAATCAGTCTTTTCCTTTTTATTTTCTCCTTCGCGAAATTCCAGTCACGTGGACTACGGGAAATCCACGGTTGTTGGAGAAATAAAATTTTCATTCAGTTGCGAGCAGTATTTCTGGTATTCGAACGAATAAATTACATTTTATTATTTGCTGGAAATTTTGTACGAGACTGTATCATCGGTATGTCAAGAATTCGTCGCGGTTACAAATGCAAATAATTTTTTGAAAATGTACACTGGATTACTTTTGGAGTATGAAGCTTTTTTGAATTATTTTATATTAGTCGGAGTTATAGCGTAGAGAAGGGACTGAAAGGTAGTGACAATCCGGTTATGATAATAATAATAACGAATGACAAGCTTCATCTTTGTACGCCCCTGAATCGAGGTCTAGAATCATGTTGTAATGGCGAGGATAAGAAACGATAAATTGTCGAATGTAGGAGAGAAATTTATTATGCACTGCACTATTCTCTGGGTCAATTCAATCAGGCGAATCCTTGGTAAAATATAAACTAAGGTAATCAGTGGAGGGGTTAATGTTGGTCTTCGTATTAAACATGGCAGTTTGCGTTTAGAAAGCAGATGATGTTAGTGTTCGTGACAGATTTGTCGTGTTAATGCTGGAATATTGAAAATCGACTCTTACAAACTGTAATTGGCACTTAAACGATTTTTAAACATATTAATCTTAACGTGACAGACCTGAAGAAATCTCGAGGCAAACGGTTCAGACAGGAACTTGGTAACTAATCAACTAGACAAACAGCTTCAGCTGACAAAAAGTTTGGGAGAAATCGAATGTTCAGAAAATTAGAAAAATATAAAATACTCTAGTTTACACTATATACCACATTTGACACTGTCCAGCCAATTATTTTATGGAAATAATTTTCTGTGGAGGATATACTACAACTGATTATAACTTTCCCAGTCAAATCTAAAATTTAAACATAGCACAGTGTTAATATTACAATATACCAAGTTTAAGAAGACATACAGGGTGTCCCATTTAAGTTGATTCAAATGGTCTTTTGATACTTTTAACCGTGGAATACTAAAATACTAGATACTGAAAGATGAACTAAAATACAAAAACGTATACGTTACTATATTTTTTAAAAATTATTCGTGTATGAAGTTCTTTTCTCTATCAACCTAAATGGGATACCCAATAAAATAATAATAATCATAAAATAAGTAGATTAAAGTTGAAAAAGATAAGATTATACAAACACAATTACCTCTTAATTCGATAGAAAATTAAAAAAGAAAAGAAATAGAAGGAAAATAGAAATAGATATAGAAATATAAGAAGAAAGGGAATAATTATCCAAAATACTAAATACTGAAAGATGAACTAAAATACAAAAAATATAGGTTTCCATATTTTTTAAAAATCATTCGTGTATAAAGTTCTTTTCTTTGTGAACCCAAATAGAATACCTAGTATAATAATAATCAGAAAATAAGTAGATTAAAATTTAAAGAAATAAGATCGTGCAAACACTATCTAATCTCTAGAGGGTTAATTCAATAGAAATGAAAAAAGAAAAGAAATAGAAGAAAAATATGAATAGAGATAGAAATATAAGAAGAAAGGGAATAATTAGCCAAAATCATCAGCTATCCATCCATGCCGCGAATAGCCCGAAAATTGCAGAGACAGAAACTGCCGAGGGACTCGTTAACTCGCTAGTAATCTCTATCCTGTTCAATTACCCCGTTCTGGTATCTGTTCCGCCATTAAAATACAATCGACGTGCAAGCCCCACGGAACCAGATTCCACCACTATCGATACAAAACGTTTCGCTATCCTCGAGCACAATCTGCGAATAATAGGTACAACAGGAGACCGAGAGCTGAATGAGCCTTGTGTGCCATTTTCGTACCTGGCCGGTTGGCATTCGAGACAGCTGGAACCTTTTTCATCTGGCCGATAAATCAAGTCAAGGAGAACCGTCGAAACGGCCAGGCGTGGAAAAAGCGAGAGCCAATATCCGTGCCTCGGCCAGAAATTCATTAAAGCCCGGTGCGCCGGTGGCGCTTAATGGACCGCGAGATATCCGCGACTGCATAGAATTGACCGGGGCCCGGCTTAGTGTCGATATATCGATCACGTCCACGGCGATGATCGATCGTGCACGCGAATCACTATCGGGAATTCGATCTCGGATTAAAGGCACTGCGGCTGCTTGCGCAAGGATCGCGGCCAGGAAAGTGGCCGATTAATAAACGGCCCCTTTGATCGATGGAAACGTTTACATTCCCATCTCGTTTCTTTTTAACGAGTTTATGAGCTTTCTGCGAAACGACCAGGCAACCAACCGCTACAGCCTGTTCAACGTGCAACGATGCTGCTGTTTGATTTACGGATCGAGCTTTCGTACGAACGGTATCGCAGAGAAGTTTTGCAGATGTCTCAATTTATTTGAGAATCGTTCGAGAAGCAACGATATTAATGATGCAGGCTGCGGAGACTTGCTCGTCTTGGTCGTTTGGTCTAGGGTATTAGGCAGTAGGGATCGTGATCCCTTTCTTGGGGATAGGAGGATTTAGAATTGGGTGAAGGACGAGGATCGAATAGTCGCCATGTCTTTCGTAGGTTAGGTTGACTAGTCAGCTTTGTCTGTATTCAGATTTCTCTTATAATATCGAAGCTGATTTTCTCTTAGCAGCTTTGTTTTATTCGCGTATTCAGAGTTTTGCAAATTTTTGACATGAAATGGATACTTTTACACGAAAGTATATGGTATTATATATATACAAATGGAATTAAGAATATTTGAAACGGAAATGTATATGCTAAGAAGAAAGTGTGAAGATCATATTAAATTGTGGTATTTATACTTACATTGGTGGACCATGAAAATATTTGATCAATTAAGAAATAAGAAGTTACGATGCAACGTTGATTTATCGTTCGTTAGCTGTGACAGCCTTAAAGCGATTTTCCAGCGAACACACTAGCGCCGCCGTGGCTCGTAACTCCAATATACGTACCGTAGATAACATATACGTATATGATCGAATTATTTTCCAATTTTGCTGATATAATCTTGGAATTTCCTTCTTGCTACATGTGTAACGCGTCGTTTTAAATATTTTAGATGCAGAACGTCTCAATCGTGCATTCTTACTAGTCACATATTTCTTTTACCAACTTGTGTTGATAAGTTTTAGCATTTATCGAAATGATTTGATCAAAGCGTGAAGTCAAAGTGTTTGCATGCTTTCTAGAACCTCTAGAACTGCTATCTCGTTATAATAAGAACTAAGATTTACCAGTTTTTCAATCAACAAACACGATTTGCCTGTTCCTCTGTCAGTATTACTACCCCAATTGTGACGTGTTTCACTTGGGACTTGTCACTCGGGTGGTCCACGTATCTGGGGGCGTTTCTGGGTTTCCTGAAATGCCTCCCGACGTCTCTTGACTCGACACAAACGGACACACGTACGCACACGTGCATCCCCTTCGCAAACAGACAGCAGTCTCGATGCGGCTGTCCCGGGCTGTGACAGTTAAGTGGGCACTACTGTAATTCCAAGATTAGAAAGCCATGACACGCGACGCATCAGGACGTGCCATCTCGAGGGTTAAAAAGCCCCCCACACATCGCTTGCAACATTCTCGAGATTTCCTCCACGCGGACCAGTCGCGGTACATAAGAAGGAGGCGCATTTGTTTGCTTATTTACCCGGGGCCGAGTGTGTACATATGTAATCAGGTTGTAGTAGGCACGGTGGTGATTTAACCGAGGCTCACGGAAAGAAAGTAACAGATGGTTGTAGGTGGCAGTGGCGGTTTAACAATGAAACCGAGCGTTGCGCGACGAAGCAGCGTTCGACTTGAACCGTGCTTGATCCTGACCAAGCACGTTTCGTTTCACGTCACTGCGAGTCTGCGGGCGTCTCGCCGGTCGGATCACGAGTTTCGCCAGAGTGACAAGTGACGTTTCATCGTAAATTGTGAGTTATGGAAAAGTCTGTTATCTGTTACCGTATCGGCATCGGCACTGGGGCTGGGGAAATTGCAGTGGTGATTGGAATGATGGCATGACACGTGTGAATGGCTGGTAAAAATGATAACCATTGTGCGTGGTATTGTGAGATAAATTACAGGGAACGAGGTTCACAATCCCACTTGTATCCCTGGATATATTCGAGATATCGATACGGTAATTTTTATTCCAAAAATATCCACATACTTCTATATTTATATTAAAATGTACTTTCGAGGTGGTACAGTCCAGTCGATATCGTATCTCTTACTACTTGACACAATCTTAGGAAATATAAGAAAACGAATGTTATAACACGTTTATAGATATCTAGTTTAAGATTTAAATTCAATAAACTACTCCAGGACACATATAAAAGCTTCTTCTGGCTTTTACTACCTTAACTAAAAGTTACGTTCACGAATATACGAATATATTTAAGTATTAAGCTTTCAAATCAAGAGATTAACGTACCTATGAACGACGCACGCGACACCTCGCGGAGCACAGCGAAAAGTAGGATGCGCCCTCTAGTATGCGCGTGTTCTATGTTCGATGCGGCGCGCGTGGAAAAGGCTTTCATCAGGCGCGTTCGAAGACTGTTCGTAGTCTTCACTCGGCCGCGAATAGGAACGGCCGTGCGTCAACCTATAAATAGTGAAGGAAAGTATGAGGTAACGCGGCAGAGCGTGCCGTGAATTATAATTTAATATCGTCCCGACCCGTAATACCTCGTATATCCGCCAGTGTCCGCGGGAATGGCGGTGAACGTACGCGAATCTCTTCGGCGAGCGCCTTCCCGAATACGCACACCCTCGCCGCCGATGGAACGAACAACAGGGCGTCTATTATTCAACGAAGTGGCCGTGGCGGAGGTGGTCAGTGACATACGGCCGCGTGTAACGGCCCCTGCCTTTCGTATTAGCATAACGGCTGACGATACTTTTTCAATGAAAACGCGTGAATTACGTATGCGCGGCTGGCTACAGC